TAAAGAGGCCAATAACTCCCAAAAAATTTAAAAAAAACATACTGGAACTTATTGCCAATCACGATTCTTTACATGATTTTTTCTAACAATACACGATTATTTCCAATTTTTATTATCAAGGGTTACTGATGATAAGATTTTATCTTCTTCCGGTTCTCCGGTCTTGTAACTATTATAAATAATGAAATGTACTTGTATTTAATATTTTTAAATATTTTATCGGAAATTACCTTTAATTGTAAATGGTTGCTTGACAAAAAATAAATAAATAAAAAAAATTTTTTATATCCCTTAAACATTTTTTTTTGGTTACTAAATTTTATGCATCTAGATATGAAAAAACAAAGTTAGGACCTTGATAGCAGTAAAACGCAATTATTAACACTAATGGATTTCTACTTAACCCGAGGTATAAAAATTATATATAATAATCTGATAGAATATAGAATATTGCAAATAAAAATCAAAAATTTTAATATAAAACCACAATTTTTTTCATCAATTATACATTTTAAATATATTAAAGGGTGATGTAGACGCCCCTCCTGCGCCTATAATACACACCTATTGTTTACACCTATTCTCCTTTATGAGATCTTTGTTTTGATACTAATTTCTATGCGTTTTGATTAGAATTTGCAAAGTTATGACATTTTATGTTAAAAAACTTAAAGTTTAGTCACGTTTCTTAAACAAATCCTTATATACAAACTTTGCAAACTCAATAGAGAAATTGGTACTTTCATGTGCCTCACAAGTGTTTGTTGGAACCGGGAATCAAACCACACAACACTGTAATTGCTGTCGTTCAGATCTGTTCTGTACTAAAGATGTCATAACGTTTTTTAGATGTCAGTCGCTGTCATTTAGTAATTATAAAATGTTTTCAGTTCATTTTTCATGAATAGTTTAATAAAATAAGTATAAAATACAAACTACCTTATTTTAAAATTAATAAATGTATTAATTTATTTATTTTTATATTAAATGGTCAACTATTGATATATTAATAAATATTTACCAAAAGTGTTTTGATTGAATCCTTTGAAATTTTTTTTTTTTTAATATAATTTGCCGTATTACATTATTATAATAATGTAATAGTAATAATAATAGTAATAATGATAGTATAAATACTATTTACAATGAAAAAAAATTGTTTACATATATAAAAATGGCCGGAGCAAAAATAAGACATATCGTCTTATCGCCGAGCCCCGTTTACATAGAAGCCGTCAGTTAATATTACAATTTAAAAACTTAAAACATTAAAATAGATAATATAAAAAACAAAAATATATTTCTACAAAGATATTATAAAGTTAAAATAAGATTTTAAAATAGCATAATTTTACAGTCATAACATATTTAATGGAAAATAATTTATTAAAATAAAATAAATAAACTATTCAGTTTATTTATTTCATTTTAATAAATTATTTTTAAGTTTTTTATTCTGGAGATTTGACTCCCAGAATTTGCATCCTTTACATTTTTTGGGCAATGTTTGGGTATCGATACATTTAACATTAGAAATAACAGTCACCACACCATCTATATATCCGCATTTCTGCCATGTACCATCTACACAAACAATTACATTCCTAATTGTATCATCTTTCACGAATATGGGCGAATCAATTAAATATTTTTTTCTATGCATTCTTGTGATGCTACTAACATTAATCTATGGGTAGCTTTTACATAAGCCACTTGCAAATGAGCTGTAATATTAGTATACAAACATAAATTCATATGTAGTGGCATGTTTATAACGCTAAAAAACGTTTTCATACTGGTAAGACCTTTGCTAATTTCTTGAAATGCAACTGTTGCTCTAATGTTATAATCAAAGGCTTTTCTCCTGTGCTTATACATAATATCATCCTCATTTCGATCTTTTATGTTTTTGGAGATAAAATACTCTTTTGTCCATTCACATCTAGAGCAACGAATAAAAATCATATGAGCAAAACTTTTCTTTGTAGAAATGTTATGCTTAGCTTGTAGTTTTTTTCATAGACAACATGGTCAAGTCCGAATAAAATTGATTATTTCTTTTAGTATAACAGTATTTATAAAAATATAGCATTCAGAGTCATTTGTAATTTTACCATGCTTGTTGGAGTGTCCAATTTTCTCAAAACAAATCAGAAGCTGATTTGTTTTGAGAAGTAAATGTTGTTGCTTCATCTTTACCTGTATCTTGGCTTTTATTAAGATTTTATACTGCTTTTATGTTAAACCTGCGTTTTTTGATCTATACTTCTTTCTTCTATCAGATGATCCAATATTATAGTTGTAATATAAACACAGTGCTTAGAAAAATCCACATAAAAAATCACTAATCATTAATATGCCTCAATAACATGCCGTTCAATTTGAGGTTTGAAGTTGTGGATTTTAACTAAAAACAAAGTGGATAAAAGTATGCATAAACATCCACTGTATTATTGTTAAAAAAATGTCTAGCCTCTGGGTTTTCTAAGAGACTTACTTGGTTGCTATGAGCGTTGCTAGGGACCAAAAATTTACAACTTTAAAATAAAGTGTTATTTTAGCCATTTTTTAAAAAAAAACAAAAACAAATGTCTTTTTTGAATTCTTTTGTGCTTAAAATATCTAAAAAGTATGTATGTGAAAAATCGTAAAAATAAAGATTCCTTATAGATGTACCACCTTAAATGTCAGTTGCCGTCATTTAAAAGTTCAAGAACATTTTCATTTAATTTTTCATGAATAGTTGAGTAAAATAAGTATAAAATATAAATTACCGTTGCCCAACTTTAACAAATATATTATTTAATTAATATTTGCATCAAACTTTATATTATTGATGTACTAATGAAGATTTAAAAGAATTATTTAAATTAAATGTTGTAAAAGTAAAATAGATCAGATTTGAAAAACACTTAAAAAGTACAACTTTTATCATAAAAACAACATGGATGTTATTAATGGGCTTCTAAACCTTAACTGATTTAAAAATAAACTTAAAATCAGCGTCATATACTTTTAATTTAAGGCCTATCCTATAAAGCGAATTTACAATGTAAACTTTTGAAATATAGGTACAATGTATACATTGTAAAAAATCCTAAAAAAAATTTACGGATAGAATTACAACAGTGTAACAACATAATTACAACAGGATAGAATTACAACAGTGTAAACTTTACGGATAGAATTACAACAGTGTACAACTTACAACAGTGTAAGCTACGATTTTACGCAGCCTAAAATTGAATTTTACATTAATTATATAGATTTAAAAATGTAAATTATGTAAAAGCTATTGAATATAATTTAAGTGCTAAAATAGTTACATTTTATTAAAATTTATTTTGAATAAAGTAATTAATTTACTTATTAATTCTACATAAATAAGTAAATAAATAACTTTATCCAAAATAACTACAAAAAAAATATATCAAAGTTCTTCCTACTGAAAAAATCCTTGGTTATACGACACTATTAGCTGAGAAGCTAAAGACTCAATCTGTTACATAATCATCTCTCAGTTTAGACTCATAATAACCGTTCTGATAATCTGTTAGTTGCTGTTTATTTAGAGAACTTTTGGCTAAATTGCATTATGGTATATAAATTGGCTAAATAGCATTATGGTATACAGATTTTTAAAAAGCTAAAATAGATAAAATAAATAAAATAAAAGCTAAAATAGATAAAATAAAAACTCATCAGTTGATAGATTTGATTCTTCACTTAAGCTTAAATATTGTAACCTACAACTGTTGATCAGTTAAGTATTCAGTTAGGGAAATTCAGAACTTATGTTTAAATAATGATTTTGTAATATTACATTAATGCCAAATGGATTTAACTTTATATCGTTTATTGATCTATACTTTATGTTTTTTGGAAGCTCAGCAGTTAGATAAAGATTAAAGGTCCAGTGTTATGTGGCTGGTCATATGGTTATACTGCAATTTTGTGCAGACGCAACATTTTAGCTTGAGTAACAGATATAGAGCTCTCCATAACTATGAATGGTGTGCAATAATTATATGCTAGTTGATGCATTTGCAGGAAAAAATGTCGAGGACATTTGCTAGGGACGTCATAAAAAATTATATCGTCATAATTTTTTAAGAAGACGACATAAATTTTTATGGGATTTTTTGCATGCTCTTGTTCTAGAGTCTGTATTTAATGGAGATTTTTCAACATACCCTCGTAGCAAGCTCATACTAAATTAACTAGCTCAACATCATGCTATACATATATGCTATACATATATGATAAACACTCTATGGACCCTAACGGTTTTACGTATATTAGAATTCAACATGCTGAAATGACTATGTAATTACTACTTAAAACCTGCTATCATCCATATCTAACATACCAGTGTTGTCAATGTTGTCTTGTCTGATCATAAACCTCTACGTTATATAACCTCCATTATTAATAGTAGTCTTACGTCGATTAGTAAACATTACATTGTCCGCCATTTTAAAATCTAACTTTATTTTCTAGTAGCAAACACATTGTATTAAAAAGTTTTTATCTTCGTTAACAATAACTCTGATTAAAAATATTTTTCAAAAAGTACAACTCTGCTTAGAATAAATACCGTTAGACTTTAATCCATTTTATTGGTTACTTTAATCCACTTTATTGCAATTTTTGGTTATAGCGATCAATTTTGCTCTATTCAAAATTTTCTTTCAATTTCTTTTTTTTATTCAAAATTTTTTTAAAGATATCAACCTTTAATTCGAACTTATTGATTTATAAAATAAATTAAAAACGAATATTCTTTTTAACTTTTCAAAATGTGGCATAATATTACCCTGGGTTGGTGTTTCTTCAAGCCATGTATACTTGTTGTTTTGTTATGCTTACTGACAAATTATTTAGATGAATACCTCCATGATGTTAAAACAAAAGCTTACTTAAAATTTACTTAAAGAAATACTTCTATATTGTTAAAACAATTGTCTTTGGAACTATTTAAAGCAAAAGAAAAATAGAAATTATACAGAAAACTTAGTATATTTTATTAATCTTTTTTTTGTTCTGTTATAATGAAACAATAACTAAATTGGTAAGTAAGTAACTGCTACATATAAACATTTAATGTTTAAAAATAATTGTTTCAATCAGATTTAAAAGCCCGCAGCCTAGACTTATGCTGACTGTTAGACGCTGCACTAGAGATATCACAATTAACTTTTTTTCGTTTCTGGGGCGCTTCTAGGGCATTTTTGACTGGAACAACTTCTGATTCTTCTGAGTCAGGACAGATTCCTTTTTCTGGTGGAACATTTAGTTTCTTTTTGCGCTTTGTTATTGAAGGTACAAGGTCTGCACGATTGTCATTTGACTGATAAATGCTTTAGAAATAAGGCTTAGATTAACAGATGATCGATCATGCAGTGGCAAACGATTATAAAGAGGTTCTTTATTAAAAGGATAAATTCCATACTTAGCAAAACCTGATATTAAATTTTCACTAAGAGTGTCTTTTATTAATTCCAGGACTTTTTTTAGAAGTGGTGGAAAGCGTTCTTTTGGAAGCGTTGTGGATTTTTTACCTGCAGGTAATTTTTTCCACAGAGTTGAAACAGTTTTCCACTTACTTTTTAGTGGCCTAAAATATGCAACATCTAGAGGCTGTGTTAAATGCGATGAGTTAAGTGGTAAACACGCAAATACTATGTTATTTACTTGGCATAATTTTAAAATATTCTGACTGATGTGTGATGATAAACTATCCCCAATAAGAACTTTTTTTCCAGTCTATTTTTTCAGTATAGGAAGGAGATGAGCAGTAAACCACTCCTCAAATATGACACTATCTTACCATCCGTGTTTTGTGCGATTGTATTTAGTTCCATGGGGACCGTTTTAAGTCCACATTGACCACAGATTTTCTGGTTTGTAGACAACGTAAGGTGGTATTGTACATCCAGCAGCGTTGGAACAAAACATGGCTGAAATATTGGACTTTGATAAGTTCATTACTTTCAGGGTATTTACAGCCTTTACGACACATAATTTTTTTTGCGGCCTGGGTCATCACTTAAGCTTGATTCATCATAGTAGTGTATATTTTCTGCTGGCACATTTGTAACAACTTGGTTGAGGTTTTTAATAAACTTGCTTAAAGTTTTTTCGTTAACAGCAACTCGATAACGTTTTATATTAACTGCCAACCTCAAAGTGAGCATAGAATGTCTTTTTAAAAATAATTTACTTCATTTATGTCCTAGAAAATTGTTTCTACACTTTGGAATAGTTTCGTTTTGGGAAGAGAGGTAATCCTTGCAATAAATCTAAAATCCAATTCATCAACAGAGAATCCAAACTCAGACACTACCAAGATGTGAGAAATAAAAAAAAGATTCTTCCAAAGCAGTAAATGTTGTAGGATGTCGTGGTTTTTGATTGTGTTTTAGCTTTAGTTTACTTTGAATGGTCATTCTAGAAATGCAAAAATGTTTAGATGCTACTCTCTGACTCATTAGGCCTTCATTAAAAGCATTAAGACACTGTTGGAGCTTTTCTTGAGAATAATCTACATATTTTCTGGAGCCTGGTTTCCTAGAATACAATATTGGAATTTTTTATAAGCTGAAGTATAAATTAATCAATATATTTTACCATCAACAAAAATACTGTTTACAATATAATAAAACTACACAATACTATTTTTATGAATAGAAAATGCAAAGGAACTTTTCTGAAAAACAACGATTATTGATTTTTGTAAAGGGACAGTGGAATAGTAAGTAAAAACTAATTCAAAGCAGAGACTAAAATAATTCAAAAACAGACAAACCACAACAAAAAAATCATTAACATATAATATTATATATATATTGTTAATATATAATATAATATTATATGTTAATTACTTTAATTTTATTACATTTGTTATAATAATAATGATAATAATAAATTAAATAAAGAAATAAATTAATCATCCATCATATCACCAAAATAAATAAACAAATGTATATTTATTTAATATAAAAAAATGATTGGAGATTTAATAAATGATATGGGGTTACTTCAAGTCCGGATTAAATTAACCCCATTTTTACATAAAAACTAACTTAAATGTGATTAGGTATTTTTTTCTTGAAACTAAATAAAAAAGTTCAAATCTTTTAACAAACTCAGAGATTTTTTATCTCTGTAGTGTGTGCGATGATAACAAACCAAATAAAAGTTCTGCTGAGTCAATTTCACTAGCAATTTCAGTTACTTTTTGACATCCATTTCAAAGTTAGATTATTTAGTGTGCGGAAATGCAATATGGTTTTTTAACAGCGTTAGTCGCATATAAATTAACCAATAGAAAAAAAACCCGCCACTTTTTGGACGTTTGAACAGGAGAAGTTAGATGGAAGATGATGCGCTGTGGTAGTTATGATAGTTGATTAAATTTTAATTTGAAGCGGTGCCTACTAGATTCAGAATCACGAAAATAAAATGGTATTCGGAGGAACGGTAAATTTGGAATTTGCTATCTCTACCTGCAATTAATAAAGTGATTGTTATTGTTTAACAAAATTCGGAAAATTAATTATCAGAAGAAAAAATTTCCTTATCGGAACTCAGACCGAGGTTTTACAGAATAGCACTAAAAGGCTAAAAAACGTTTGTTTTATCCTGAATCGAGGGTGGATCCAACAAGTGTGGATCCGTAGAAGATGGGAAGGGACGGGCGATGGGGGCAATTGCCATTCTTAGAAGGTTTAGAATTTTTGTAAGTTAAAATATAAGACACAACAAGTTGTTTGAAAACGGAAGTAATATAGTTAAGATGTCTAAATATAATTACACTTTTAATAAAAATGTGTGGTGCAAATTATTAAATTGTGTGATTTCAGGCTTACGAATCATTAAATCTAAAAGTTGCCCCCCGTGGATGGTCCAGACCATTTAATAAGTAGGAGGGGGGGGGGGGGAAGTAGCGATTTTTTTTTTTTTTGATTTGGTGGATCCAAGTTTTTTTTTTTTTTTTTTTTTTTTTTTTTATGTTGATTTTAGGTGCCCGAAGAAGTCCTTACGGTCTTATCACAGAGCACCGCGGAAGAGCATTTAATAGAAAGTTCACTAGTTCACAAGTTATCTAGTAAGAGGAGGGGAGGCGATTTTTAGATTTATTGATTTGTAAGCAAGTAATCAGATAATTTAAAACTTGCTTCACACAATTTTATTAAACTTGTAATTTTATTTAGACTAACTAATTTACTTCCGTTTTCGAAAAAATTGGTGTATTTAATATAATAATATATATACTTACAAAAAAAATTACAATAAGCCGTGTGAATATTAATCTGACGTAAATTTTATAATGATGTATATAATAAGAATTTTAAGTAATAATACGGTATTCAATAAATCCATAATATTATATAAATCAATCATTCCGTAATCCATAATGTAATATATCATAAGAAAAATAGGCGATAATGGTATTTAAGTTAAAGAGTCTTCCTCTGGATTCTCATTTGCATCATTTTCAACCCTTACTTGTCTAAGGTCTTCATTGAAATCGCTGTTAACTCTTACATATCTTAGATCACGTTTGTGCCGGCACATTCTGTCCACTTCTACAGCTTGCTCCGAAAGTATCCCTGTAATTCTTCCAACCTTGTATTGAGAGTCGGATTGTTTATTCAATTAAGTATGGGTTTAACCCATACTTTATTGCCAAGTTTAAATTTGTTAATTATCTTTTCATGTCTGTTCTTATTGTCGTCAATTCCTTGTATACTAATTTCATATTTATACAACTTATTTGCAAGTGCAGTCGAAGATTTAAAGCCATATTTGGACTAACGTTATACCAATAAACTGTTTTGAGGATGCTGCACGTTCTTTTTGCAGTTTGATGATATCGTTCTTCAATTCCATTTCCTGAAGGTACATGAGCGCACCTAAATTGAAGTTTAACATTCCATTTATTTACAAGTTACAAAAACAATGTGCTTTGAAATTCAGTATCATTGTCCGTTTGAATTTAGTTTAGGTCACCTTGTTCAAGAAAAACCGCTTTTAACTCTTGAATAATACACACATTAGTTTAAATTTAAGATGATGCCACATTGCATATCGTGCAGGTCCACAGTCATTTAAGGTAAGATAGTGTTGCCCCTCATAATGAGTTATATCCATACCAAGTTGTTATTACGTTAAATTTACTTCAATTCTCCCTTTCGGCCACTTTATTTGGCTTGGATTAATTGGTTGGCAAGCTATACATCTCTACCCCACTTGTTTTAATTCTTCCCTGCTTACTGATTGGTCAATGTTTTGAGCAAAGTACAGTGTTTTATTCACACCATAATGTCCTGCGGACCTACAAACATTTATGTCCTTGAAAGAAAGAGAAGCACTAATCATTCCACTTGCAGCAGGTTCAGGGAGTTTATAGAGGGTTTTTGATCTGTTTAAAGCCTTTGACACCGTCATCTATATTTTTATTTTTAAAAAACTTGAACATTATGGAATTAAAAACAATAACTTAGTTTGGTTTAAAGAATATTTATCAAGCAGAAAACAGTTTATACAATATGAAACAGGTAAAACGTCCAAAAATATATTAACATGCGGAGTTCCTCAAGGCCCAATTTTAAGACCACTTTTATTTTCACTTTATATAAATGATTTATCTTCTCATTAAATCTATTAAATTTGGTTTTATTTGTGGATGATTCCAATCTGTTTTATTCACATAGGGATATTAAAACGCTTTTTAAAATAGTTTATAAAGAGTTATAGTTGAGAAACAAGAAAGTTACAAAAACTAAATATATACTATTTCATTAAAAAAATAAAACAGATAATCTTTTTCTAAAATTACCTGATCTGAAAAAAAATAAAATAAATATAACTAGGCACACAGATGTAAACTTCTTATGTGTTTTTTTTAGATGAAAATTTATATTGGAAGACTCATATAAGCTCACTGGAAAGAATACTTTATAGAAATATTGCAATAATGTATAAAACAAAACCATTCTTAAATATTAGGTCTTTAAAAACGTATATTTTTCTTTTATATATACAGTATCGGACAAACAAGTGCAACCAAATAAATGCTAATTTAGTTTCTTTATATAAAAGTGCTGTATTTTTTCAATTTAGAGAAAAACTATGTAACTGTTTAGAGACAACATTATTCAAGTTTTATTCATCACAAAGTTCATTATTTATACACGAAAATTAATAAATTAATCAAAAGTATTAAAAAAAGTTGATTTCCTTCTGGACAAAACAAGTGCAACTCCCCATAATGATGACCAAGCTGTATTTCGCTATCAATATTTCGTGGCCAATCCTTTTTTGTCGATCACAGCCTTGCATCTTCTAGGCATAGATTCAATCAGGTGATTAATGAAACTTTGTGGAATTGCTACCCAGGCCATTTGGATTTGTTCAAACAGTTGATCCTTATTACGAACACCTTCACAATTAATTCTGCGGTTGACGATCACCCACAGGTTCTTGATAGGGTTGAGATCCGAAGATTGAGGCGGCCAATTCATCACGTAAATCGAAGTAACGTAAATCGAAGCGTTTTCCGGCCGGTCGACGTACACGGTAAATGCCATTGCTCCCAATGATGTTGAACTTCGATTCATCACTGAACAGGACTGTTCAATATAATGAAACACTTGTAGTATTTCACTTCTTGTATTAATGTTCTTTGATAAAACACTTTGATAAAACTCACTTCGATAAACTGTCTTGATAATACTGACTGATTGACTTCCATATACTGACTGAATTAAATATCGGTTTACATGTCTCTTATATAGTAAAATGAACCTGTGTGAACCTGTTCTGGAAGACTCTAGATGCTTCTTATCGATGCTTCTGGAAGCTTCTAGATGCTTCTGGATGCTTCTGAATGTTTCTGGATGCTTCCAGATGCTTCTTCTGGAAACGTCTGGAAGTTTCTGCATGCTTCTGGAAACTTCTGGATACTTCCTTTAATTATTAAAAAACTTTCTTGACGTTAACACGGACCAGATTTAAAAAAATAAAACAAACCAAAAAACTTGCACTTGTTTTGTCCGCTGCAAAATGGCACTTGTCAACGAAATTTTGCCTGTGTGCTGTCACCTGTCAGTTGATTGCTTATGTCATGACATGCTATGATTCCAGACTCCTGAACTGTTTGCTGTAGTAGTATAGTTCGTTTCGTTTTTAAGACATGTAAAATTAGGAACACTTTTTAGCATTGTTTGATGTTGGTTGCAAATATTTTGTCCAATACTGTAGTTATTTAACTTACGGAAATATTGTATGGGCAAGAACCAATTACACAAAACAGAAAATAAATTATTGAAAACAAAAACATGCTGACAGAATTGTATTTAAAGCAACAAATTATATGCGATGCGAGCCACTTCTAGGTAAGCTTGAATCATTAAACGTGTTCAAAATAAATATTAATTTATTCTTACAAATCATGTATAAAATAAAGCACGATCTATCTTCAACAAATTTAATCAATATTTTAGTGAAATAAACCACAAATACTTCGCCAGATTCTCCGAAAACAATTTTTAAACTCCAAAATG